TATCCTGCCAGCGTGTTCCTCGCAGACAGTGAGGGCTGCGGCTCCTCCACACTCCCCAGCCCCTTCGCCAGCGGGAGGCAGCACCCGGCAGTGGAGGGCTCGGAGCCGGCTCTCAAAGGCAGCAAGGGTCTCTCGATTTGCGCTTGAGGCACTCAGAGCCTGCCCCCAGCTTTGAGAATTCCCCACCTGGGAACCAAGGCCTGGAGTTGCCCCTTCATTGGGCAAGGGCCACACACCATGGAGCAGCTTCTCCGGAGGTCCCTGGGGGCTGGGCTTGGCAGGCTCCAAGCCACTCTTCCTCTGCCCCCTGGCAAGCTGGCTGTCAGGCTAGAGCCGCCTGAACACCTGGCAAACAAGGAATAAACCCACCAAGCTTTCAGTCACTGCAGGGGTCACTATTACTCTTTCCTGTTCCCAGGGAGATGCATTTTCATGCTAATAAGAAACTCCCTCCCCGCACAGGTGGCTCATGCCTGTAATCCTAGCTACTTAGGAGGCTGAGACCTGAGGATCGCAGTTCAAAGCCAGCTCGGGCAGGAAAGTCCTTGAGACTTTTATCTCCAATAAACCACTCAAGTGGTAGAGCACTAGCCTTGAGCTGAAGAGCTGAGGGACAGCACCTAGGCCCAGAGTTCAAGCCCCACGACCGACAAAAGAAGGAAGAAAAAAAAAGAAACTCCCAGCTGGGCTGGGAAGGTGGCTCAGTGGTAGAGTGCTTGCCTAGCATGCATGAAGCCCTGGGTTCAATTCCTCAGCACCACATAAACAGAAAAAGCCAGAAGTGGCACTGTGGCTCAAGTGGTAAAGTGCCAGCCTTGAGCACAGAGAGGCTCAGGAACAGTGCCTAGTCCCTGAGATCAAGCCCCAAGATTGGCAAAAGGAGGAGGAGGAGGAAGAAGAGGAAAAGGAAGCAGCAGCAGTAGCCACTCACAGCCTACTGCCAAAGTTTCAGACCTGTTATCCTGGTTAATCTGAAGATTGTGGTTCAAAACCAGCCTGGGCAGGAAAGTCCATGAGACTCTTATTTCCAATTAATCACCAGAAAACTCAAGTGGAGCTGTGGCTCAAAATGGTAGAGTACTAGTCTTGAAAAACAGAGCTCATGGACAGCACCCAGGTCCCGAGTTCAAGCCCCATGACTAGCAAAAAGAAAGAGAAAGCAAGAAAAAGCAAGCAAGAAAAGAAACTCCCATTGTGGTGGCTCACACCTAGCTACTGTGGTGGGTGAGATCTGAGGGTTGAGGTTGGAAGCTAGCTGGGGCGGGGAAGTTCATGAGACTCATCTCCAATTAAGAAAAAAGCTCAAGCCGGGCGCTGGTGGCTCACGCCTGTAATCCTAGCTACTCAGGAGGCTGAGATCTGAGGATCGTGGTTCAAAGCCAGCCTGGGCAGGAAAGTCCGTGAGACTCTTACCTCCAATAAACCACTAGCAAACCGGAAGTGGCACTGTAGCTCAAGTGGTAGAGCACTAGCCTTGAGCTGAAGAGTGCAGGGACAGCGCCCAAGCCCAGAGTTCAAGCCCCACAACCGACAAAAAAAGAAAAGAAAAGAAAAGAAAAAAGCTCAGAGCCGGGTTCCGGTGGCTCACACCTGTAATCCAAGCTACTCAGGAGGCTGAGATCTGAGGATCACGGTTCAAAGCCAGCCCGGACAGGAAAGCCTGTGAGACTCATCTCCAATAAACCACTAGAAAACTGGAAGTGGTGCTGTGGCTTAAGCAGCAGAGCGCTCGCCTTGAGCTGAAGAGCTGAGGGACAGTGCCCAGGCCCAGAGTTCAAGCCCAATGACCAACAAAAACCGACCAAAAAAAAAAAGAAAAAAGCTGAGGGACAGTGCCTAGGGCTGGCAGGAGGAGAAGGAGGAGGAAAAAGCAGGAAGAACAGGAAGGGGAAGAGGAAGGAGGAGGAAGAAGAAGAGGAAGAGGAGGAGGGGGAAGAGGAGAGGGAGGAGGTAGTAGTTTTCAAGCCTCATGGTAAGGAGGTAGTAGACAGTGCTCCTTGGGTCAGCCTGGCTCAGGTGCTATATTCTCTTCGTCATGTCTCTGCTCAATTAGAAACCTCAGTTTCGGCTGTATTGGTGGATGATTGGACAAGAGCAGGTGGGTGAGGACAGTTTTGGGGTGAGGCTTCTGAGCCTCTTAGATCCCCGTAGGTCCTGAGTGCTCAGCCATTTGGTCCTAGACAGCTGGGGTCTCTCATGGCCCCTCTGTGGGGTGCCCGTGCTGCTGGGGGCTCCCTTCAGATCAGTGCCCGCAAGTGCTGGGGGCTAGCTAGCCAGGAGCTGTCATGTCTCACTGAATCCCCTCTCCAGGCCCTGAGACAGGACTTTGATTAATCAGCGACAAAAGCAGAAACAAGCAGAAAAATGTAATCAACTTGGGAAGGGCAAGACTGTGGCAATCAGCTCTCCCGCTGGGGCTGGGGCTGACTGGACCCAAGGGGCCGGGAGGCGGCTCCAGAGGATGTCACCCCAGAACCTCGGGCAGCCAGGGCCAGAAGGTCCCCAAGCCCTCAAAGCTGCACCCGTACACCTGTGCTCACACGCCTGCCCCCCCCCCCATTCCTGGCTCAAGGGCAGGCACACGCGCCCCCACCTGCCTCCAATCTCGTGCCTTCCTCCCTCCCTGCTGACTCACAACCTTGGCCCAGGCGAGCGGTCAGACACAGTCCCATCTGCTTGTGGGCTTGAAAACACGTGTACACACACCGATGGCCTTTTCACACTCGTGTCGATCAACCATAAACGCGTGCACATGCTTTCTCAAACAAGTGCGGCACCGGCCGTGGGCCCGGCCGGAGCTGCCCGTGTGCAGCCTGCGGCCCGA